TAAAATTATTCCTCATAAGGCATACATCCCACTAGTTTATTTCAAAATTGGTGAGTCGCACTTCCCTAGTCTCCCTTTAGTGAAAAATAAGCCGTATGGGGCGGTTGACCGTATAAAGCTAAGCACTGGTGAGGATTCACTGGAAGTAAATCAAATTTATTACTTCAAATTTATTTTTACGTCTAAGTTTAAAAAAGTGGGTCCTCCAATATTATTATACTTGTAGTGCTTCAATATAACGCGTTCCTTCAATTTAACTTTCAACGAAGCAACTAACAAAAGAACTCGAAAGACTCCACAAGCAAGCTATGATGCTATTCAAAAAATAATAATCACTGATATTTAACAAAAATATAGCTATGCTATCCTATGATGCTATCCAAAAAATAATAATAACTGATATTTAACAAAAATATAGCTATGCTATCCTATGATGCTATTCAAAAAATAATAATCACTGATATTTAACAAAAATATAGCCATGCTATCTTATGATGCTATCCAAAAAATAATAATCACTGATATTTAACAAAAATATAGCTAAATAAGGGATAACACTCAAAACATGGCAAACCTTACGTTTTATTTATGTAGTGATATTAACTTTCTCAATTAATTTTTTTACCACTAACGACCTTTTAAAATTCATAAATTACCGAAAACTCTTGGGAATGATAAAATTACGTGCAAATTTAAACGGACATCGCAATATTCAAATGTCCTAGGATATCAAGCCTGTTTACACATCGCCTCGTCAACATAGCATAAGCGGAGGGATACACCGTAAGTTTTTTTAAATTTCTTCCGGTATTAGGAGGCTTTTTATTGTTTACAGTCAGTCCACCATTCATACTTAAAAGTTTCTTTTTTTGTTTCATAGAAGGAAAGTATAGTGCAACTGTCAGGAGAACTCCTCCAGACACTCGTCTCGCGTCGTGGCGGGTACTATGGTTACGAGGAAAAGACACTTCGAATAGAGGTGCGGGGTGAATAGTTTTGTCTTAATCTTGACATAGGTAGTCGTGAATAAACCAATCGTCACTTTCTTTCCTCCATTTCACCCCCATTAGAAATGTGCTCTCGCTTGTTACCGTAGTAGCAGACAGCCCCAGACTTTCAGTCTGAAGGAGTTCTCCTCAAAGCCGCACTATAGGATAGCTCGTCTTGTGTCGAGAGCCAAGAACACAATGTCCCTCGTCATGTGACGTGGGAATAAAGTAGATTTAAAAACAGATTTGGGATAAGAAAAGATACAGTTGTGTAAAAAAATAGAAGAGAATAATTAATAGTAAAAAAAAATTAAATTAAACTGCTGATGCCAAGGGCCTTGAGGTGGCACAAGTTAGCATTTTAATTTTTTTTCCGGCTATTCTGTTTTTCTTGTTTCAAAATTTTATCATCATACGAAGAGAGTAATGTTTTTGGGTGCATGTAACAGGTAGTATAATTGGTTCAAATAAAATAGAAGAGTATTAAATTATTTATCACGATTAGTTACTTCCTTAGTTACTAATAGTAGAAAAAGATAACTCAAGAAAACCTGTATAATTTTCTCCAAATATTAGTTACAGCTTTATATGCATCGACAACAAATGTATCGTATTTTACTTTTATAAAATAAATCCCAAACAATTTCCTAATAAATTTCGTTGGAAGCTTATTATGATGCCGGGCCGTATTAACAGAGTTACCAACATAAAAACAAAATAAATTTTTTCTCTTTCTTTTCAGTAAGGAACAAGCAATTGTGTGTTTTTTTAAAAAAGAATATAGTAAAAGTTTTTTAAAGTCTTTTCCAATTCATCACTTCTTTTATTATAAAACATTCCTTTTTTTTATATAAAAAACAAAATTTTGAGACATGTTCAATCTTCTGTTCAGCTCTATTACTATAAAAAAAAAAGATCTAAACACAACTTTCTTTACGCTTTCTTCCTTTTAAGAATTATATCCATCCGTCTTTATCAACTTTTTTAGTATATGTTTTTGAAAAAAATCTAAAAAACTTTCAAATTGCGTTTCAGTGAACTTTAAAAACGATAAAAAACAATTACGTTTAAAAAAAATGAAATATATATGTGAGGAATTTTTTTTACATGTTTTAAATTGATTTTCATTGAACATTTAAACAATAAAAAAATTACTTTAAAAAAATAAGGTAGTGTTAATTGATGAACTTCCTTTTATTAACCACAGAAATAAAAAGGCCCAAATAAAAACTAATACTAGAATTTTCTTTAATCTTTTAATTCTGAATAAAGCTTAAATTTGCGTGTTTACGAAAATCGACATAACTTGAATCTCATTTAAGAAAATGGACATAGCTCAAAATAGGTATTTAAGGAAATGGACACAGTTTAAAAGCCATATTTAAAAAAAATGGATCCAGTTCATAATGCGCAATTAAGGAAATATATATAGTCCAAAATGAGAATTTAAAAAAATGAACCCAGTTTAAAAATCGTATTAAGGAAAGTTATGTATTTAAAAAATACACATTTAAGGAAATATACACGCCCAGTTAAGATTAATTTTCATTAAATGCTTTTTATTGGATCACGCATCTATTCCTTCGCTTACGTACTTTTTTTTCATGATCAGTTGATTATTTTTAAAATCTGAGTAGGTGATCATTTTGTTACAAATAACGCATAAATAAATGTCCTTACGTAAAATTATTATAATCTAAATGTCCTTTGTATTTGTTACTGGCAAAGTATGAAACGTCGGCATTATATATAATGCCTGACGTTTTTAGGCAAAGTATGAAATATGAGAAGTATTAAATACTTTCCCTAGGCATTCTATATAATGCCGGAGGCTATTTAGGCAAAGTATGAAACAAACGTCCTGATGAGGTTATTATGTAAATGATGTGCATGTTACTGTGAATGACCGAAATCGGTGGTTGTTGACTTTCACCGGTGAATGTTGACAAGCACATAGTCGCTTTGGTGAACGTCCGAAATATTTATTACATCCGATTTGATATTAATATATTCGTGGACACAATTACATTTATTCGATATTTTAATACTTACTGACGATAGATTAGAAGAAACATCAGTGTAGGGTATAGCGGGCAAATGTATACCGGGTAGTGGCACTTAACTAGACCTAGTATATATTTCGGACATTTACCAAAGGTCTAGTTAAATGCCACTGTACGGTATACATTTGCCCGGTTTATCCTACACTGATGTTTTTTTAAGGTTCAGTGCCACTGCCCGGTATACCCTACACTGATATTTTTTTAAGGTCAAGTATCATTGCCCGGTATATATTTGCCCGATACTCCAAACACTGATGTTTCTTCTAATCTATCGTCAGTAAGTATTAAAATATCGAATAAATGTAATTTTGTCCATGAATAAATTAATATCAAATCGGATGTAATAAATATTTCGGACATTCACCAAAGCGACTATGTGCTTGTCAACATTCACCGGTGAAAGTCAACAACCACCGATTTCGGTCATTCACAGTAACATGCACATCATTTACATAATAACCTCATCAGGACGTTTGTCTCATACTTTGCCTAAATAGCATCCGGTATTATACAGAATGCCTAGGGAATGTGTGAAATATAATACATACTTTGACGGCTAGTTTTAGGTATTATATATAATGCCGGATTTCATACTTTTCCGGTAACATATTAACCAAATGGTCTTCTTTTAAGAAACATAGATTTTTAAGAAAAAGAAATAAAGATGAATGAGACGCCAAAATAGGGGTTGGTGGGTGGAGTGAGCAGCGGCAGGATCCTCTTTGTATCTTAAAACATGCAAACTATTTGTTTGGTTACAATTCTCAGATGTAAAAGATAGTTTAATATTTAGTATAAGTTTTAGAATTTTATTTCCCACCATATTAAGCTATTCCGCAGAATGTTGAGCATTTGGCTTCTGAATCGTACACACTTAAAATGATAGTGGAAGTTTTTTCATAGCATAGAGAGGAATGAAAATTTACATTTCCTTTAAAAATGCCGCTCTATAAGTATTCATAAAAGATATTATGTGTCTTAAAATATGTAAATTATTTTTTGTTTTTATTCGTAACTTAAGAACCAGTTTTTAAACGGTAAATATTTTAAAATTGTACGTATGTTAGAGTTTTAAGTTTGATTACAGTGGGGAAAATTTTTCTTGCCTTTATACAAGGGTTCGATCCTTCCTAATTCATGCGGGTTTGAGGATTTCAAATCTAAAATTAGTTTTGTTTGGAAAACTACAGAATTTTTTTCACAATGATATTTTCAGTCTGATTTATAATTTGTCTAAATGTACTAATTTATGAAAAACGTTATTGATTTATATACATATCTATGCATTCGTCTGCTTCTTCGAAAATAATATTTAATGCAAAAATATATGACTTTAACATATCGCATCATAAATTGAAATACATTATCGCCTTCTTCCTTCCGCTAAGTGACATAGCAGAAGCCTGGAGGCACTTAGTGTCAACTCACTTAGGAATTTTAGAAAAGTGCAGGCACTTAGTGAAATTTAGAAAAGTGCAGGCACTTAGTGAATTTTAGAAAATCCTGTTTAGGAATATATTATTAAATTGTATGAAAACTTAAGCATGTAGCGAGAAAGTGACTGCAGATTTGTAATCAGCGATGCTAATATATCTGTTCAAAATCTCATGTAACAGAAAATTTGGTCTTCCCCAGTGTTATTGGTTATATGCTCGATTATAGTTACGCTACTCTCATTATCATAAACCTTGATGGTTTAGCTTTAAAGGCACTGAACTGTCATGGTACAGGATTAGAGTTCGATAACAGTGTAGACTTGAAGCCCATCTAGTCTCAGATCGATGGGTATTAGCTTGCATTGAAGTCAGGGCAGCTTGTGCTATTGCTGACAACATTGACACAATCATGCCTTTGACCATGAAACTGTGGAGCCTTAATTAGAATCGTTAAATTTTGCTTAAATAGTTACCATTGTGGTAAAAAATGTTTAAAAAATGAAAAATCTTACCTCACATTCTCATGTCTGCTCATATATATTTTCTTGAACTGGCCCGTAACTACTGCTCCTAAGTCCTCCCGTATTTCGGCAGCAACGTGCTGTGGTAAAACCGATAGTAGAAGTCGTTCCTAAGGAACAAGAGTCAAAGATCAATAAGAATGGTAGTATTTATAAAATTAATTGCAGAAATCGTACCTAAAGAAGAAAAGTCAACAATCAATAAGAATGGTAGTATTTATAAAATTAATTGCAGAAATCGTTCCTAAAGAAGAAAAGTCAAAGATGAAATAGAATAGTAGAATTAGTAAACTAAATTGCTGAAGTTGGTCATAAGAACAAAAGTCAAAGATTAATAAGAATAGTAGCATTAATAAACTAAATTCTTCATGCGCTTAACAGGCAGATCGAATTTATTATAGCATTTGAAGGACAATCGCAATAAAAAAATCCGCTTTATTTTTGTGTATTTAAAGTTATATTTGCTTTGTTTATTTAGGAAAAATCTGCAGTTGAACAATAGATTTTAAAAAGTAAATAAAACCTTTAATAATGTATTAAAGTAGTAATGTATAAATCAGCCACATTTTACAAATGCGCCAGGCTAATGAACCCATTTTCGGATAAAGGTGCATAAAAGCACCATTTAAATAAATATTTTTTAACTAATTTTATTTTTCTGCTATTGTCAAGGATTCTATTCACTTTCTGTTAAAAATGTTTTTCTCTAATTGTCTATATTGTCTAATAATGTCTGTCTCTAATTTGAAATTCAACTTCTTGAAAATTTTTAATTATTCTATTTGAGATTAATCATATTTTTTTATGATAGATTAACGATGCAAATTCCTCTAAAAAAGCTATACTCTGTTGCAAGTTAAGAAAAAATTAACCCATATGCTTTTAGGAAAAGTGTGAAAAATTAGTCAACTATATTCAATATGCGTAGGGTTATTGCAATGACCCTTGCACGTTCATTATAAAGAGACTTAAAATAAATAAAGCTAATCAAATAATAGATGATGCATCCACTAACTAGGGGCCACACTAGTCTTCTTATTCTAGCAAGTCAAAAAACTTGTCAGGATGAGTAAAAAATATTAGAAATCTTTCTAATTGATCTGGTGTCTCTCACTTGTAAAGAAGGATTTTTCAGTTTGCCTGCATAAATATAATGATAAAATAGAAATAAAAAATATGTATTGAAATTGAAGAATAATCCTTTTCAGGTAAAATTTTGTGATAATTCAGGATGAGACAGATAAAAACCCAGATAATTTTAAAATGGCTAAATGTAATGGTTATGGTTAGAAATACTTAGAAACTGATGAACTTTTAAAAGCAAACGCTAGATACCACTAGGAAATTTTTTACAATTCTAGTTGCTTGTAACATTTTTGAGTTAACCCCTTAACGATCGGTTAATTTGTAAGAAAACGGACATAAAAGTGCCTATTTTTTGGCTTTAGTACTTGTATTACGTATCTGATTAGTGCTGATATCTAGTTTAAAATAAACTGTCTACATTTACCTTAAGAATATCCTTTTACTGTCATCTGGTGTGTAAAATGAGAAATAAAATGTTTTCCAGGCAAAAAAAAAATAATTAATTTTATTCTTATTGGCGCTTTACTATTAAACACTCCATCCCGTCAATATCACGGGAGCGAGAAATAGAGGGCGAAACCTCACCCCGTCATTTTCACGGGAGCGAGAAGGAAGGGGTTAAGAGATGCCTGACTAGTATCACTGAGTCGGAATGGGTTAATTGCTTATACATAGCGGTAACCGTAATCAACACAAATGAAATTCAAAATCAAATACAAAATGGTGAAGCATAAAATATACTACAACTTTAAATATGGTGGTAGAAGTTGGCAAGCATACTTGCCAACTTTTCCAAATTTTTCGGAAAATTTATTTTTGTATTTAATGTGGAAGCAAAATATTTGCATTTATGCTAGATTCTTGTTTTAATAAATTTTATTTAATATACTTTTAACAACAACTACATTTATATGGTTTCGACATACATAATAAGGACCAGCTAGTGTGCTTCAATGTATTTCTATGAGTTTTAAGTGATGGCTAAAGGTAAATTAATTATGCGCCTACAATATACATAATTTCATTAGTTTTTTTTACTACCTCTGGGAAAAAGATTTTTTGAAGTGCACAAATCTTGGCAGGAAGTACGTGTTCATAAACAGTGGTAGTTACGGAATTGTTTGTATTTCCAAACAAAAAGTAGAAATTGGATGTTATTCTTTATATGATTATTCTCTTCAGTTTTGCACCAGGTAAGGGATATGTAGTAAATAGCATTAGATTAATGAGGTCTTAGCATTTTTTTTTTGCTTGGTGTTTAAATCACGTGTTAGGTGTAAACTCTGCCTCTTTGGGTTCTGGTATTTTATCAAAAATATTGGCGATGGTTTGAGGAGAATTTCGACGTTACATTGTAAACAATGTAACGTCGTCATATATTATCCATTATATTCAATCAAACATTTCTTTCCAAAACAGGCAAACACACAACTTGCCGAGGAATTATAAATAACTGAACCTTGCTCAGAACAGTTACAAAAATAATATTTTACCTCAAAAAGGTGGTTTTATTTACAAGCTTTGAGGCGCCGGTAATACAAATAAAATAAAAACAAAAATTCGCAAGACTAGGATAAATACCTAGGATTCCAATAAAAAAAATATCGAATTTCCAAATAGTATTAGTAGGGCGGAATATTGCTTTCATAAACCACGCCTATTATCTAGATAATTCTGCGGATCATATTATTTGCTGCCTCTTCCGCATTAAATAAAACTATGAACAGATTGATGGCAAAGAAAAATGATGCTGTTTGGGCGGTTAAATGTAGGATGCTCTGATTCCGAACTTAACCATCCTAAATATCACATAACGAATATGTTATTTTCTCTGATATTTTCCAATAAGACACCTGCTGAAATCACATAAGAAGGCGTAGCAGGGCGTATCCTAGAGTTTACAGAAATAGCGCTTCGTTGGTAGGGCGTAGTCTGAGATGAATCTCCATGCAATCCACATTTGCCAAAATAAAAACGAGTGGAGTTGAGTCGTCCCTATCCTGCAGGTAATAAACGGCTATGAAAAATAGCGTTCCTAATCGAAAGAAAAAGCATCATTCTTATCAACAAAACTGAGATTTTTGGTTGAACAAGAGTATTTTGTTCGTCTAAAGGAAAAAAATTAAATCGATGTAACAAGTGCACAGAGATAGCTACTTGAGGTTGTTGCGAATTATTATTTTCAGAAGTAGTGCGCTAAAACAAATTTTTAGAAACAAATACAATTTTTAAAAAATATTGTTTTATATATATATATATANAGACTAGCACCCTGTTTTAGTTTAAATAATTTTCTAATAATTCCGAATATATATATATATATATATATATATATATATATATAGTAGAGCGCCGATTATCCCAACTGCTCGGGACCGAACATGGTTCGGATAATGAAAACTTCGGATAATTGGAAAGTTGTTTAAAATCTAATGTTAATGATTATTTTTTATGCACTAACTTCCCTTCGCACTTTTTGTAGGCTTAGGACTGGCAGTACTATCTAAAATAGTTCTGGCGTGTTTAAAAGTTTTTTTTTCATTTTGAATTATTTTTATCATATTTCAGTTTTTTATAATTTTTTTGTCCATTACTGATTTTACCACTTTTTTCATTATTTTCCATTGCAAAAGAAATCCAGCAAAGATTTCGCTTAAAAGAAGATGCGTTTTTTTTTTTTTTTTTTTTTTTTTGAGCAGCCATATATCCTTTATTCTTTTTAAATAAATCAACCGTACTGGATCAACATTATTTTGACGTTTCAGCCAATTCATTGCAAAATCTAATGAATTGCATCCCTCTATATGAGAAGGTCCACTATCTTGAACTTGATCACCTTCTTCTTCCTCTTCGTCTGTGGAGTTCCGATTTTCCTTCAAAATTTCAGCAACAATTTCATCATTTTCATCCGAAAGATCTACTGGTTCAGAAACTTTGTTTGTTTTTTTGTTAAGAATTTTATTCCAAGATTTAAGATTCCAAGCACTGTAATCACTATTCATTAACCATAAGTGACAACTACCCATCCCCCAATTATAGAACTTCAGCACTTATCTATTCATAAACTCCTTCTGCATTCCAACCATTGTAGACTATCAAAATGAAGTTCGCATGAGAAAATGAATGAGAAGAAATATGGTTTCCACTAAAATAACAACGAAAAAGGAATAAAATAAACATTGTGAATGGTTATTAGAAAGCATATTTTTACTTGTTGATGTCGATGCGAAATTATGCTAAAATTTTCATAAATTAATGTCTTTTTCGTAATTCATTCATTTTATTATTATTAAAAAAAGCATAGTTTTGAAATTTCTTTCTTCAACCATTCCAATTAAATAATTTTTATACAAATTACGAAACATATTAAATACGTTACGGTACTTTTATTTACGTCACACTTGAGCAGCACAATAGGGTATTGGCGATGGTCAGGGAAAGATTCCTAAGGATGATCTGGAGATAATACACATACATTACATCCCGTTTTACAGGAAGGGCACATGCACACACCATCCATCTGCAGATAATAGTTTTGACCTGAATCAGAGTACAATCAATCTCCGATCCAGTATCCTCAGAGTATTGATTTGTTGTGGGAACTTGGAGGACTTTGTGACCTGGATAAATTTAGAGTGCACTAGTCACCATTTTGTACACACGGAGTCTTCGGCAGAAGTAATATTTTTAGTTTAGTTAATTTTTTAACTGAAAATACAAGTTATAAGTGGTTTATGTTCGGGTAAGATTTATGAATAGGCATATACACTTGTCTGTTTCTCTGAAAATGTCACTTAAGACAAAACATATGACCATAACTATTTAGGCCGTCATAAGCACTGCCAGTCATAAGCATATGCCAAACTTCCATCTGCTATAGAATTTCTGTAGCAACTACAAATGATTTTTGCTACAATGCCATTAAAGGTTTAGCACTAATATTTAATTTTTGGTTTGATAAATTGTATTTCAAAGACGAAAGAGCAAATAACAGTGGATAAGAAATTTTCTGTTGCATTTATACAAGTTGACAATCATTCCTAATTCGGATGTTGGAATTCGGATGTTTGAATTAGTAATTTTGAGATAGAATTTTTTCAAAATGATATTTTTAGTTTCGTTAATTTTTTGTCTGAGTACAAGTTAAAAAAGGTATGGTTTATGTATAGGTAAGGTTTGTGAATAGGTGTATACACTTATCTGTTTCTTTGAAAATGTCACTAAAGATAAGAAACATATGACCTTAATGTTTCACAGCATAATTATCGCCTTATTCCTACCATTCCCAACGTAACTGAGAATTGGTGACACAATAGTCACTCAATTGTCACTCGAGTGACGCAAAAAAAAAATTGCACGCCACAGGAAACAAAAAAATATTTATTCCCCAATGTAAACTATTGGTAATGTCCTTAAATGCTTCTTAAGGTGTTTTAAAAAATATATTTAATCCTAAAAATTTTACCTATTGTTCACTGCCAGTGAAAAAATTATTTTGCAAAATTTGAATGATGAAAGGAAAGCTAATCTAATTAAAATTATACATTGAATCCTAATTTTGCTATTGACAGATATTGATAGCCTCCTGAATCATTGAATGCTTACTGTCATCGTAATGAATACAAAACATGTCACGCTTTTGGAGATTTGCAACGGGAGTTGTTTTTTTGGTAAGAAAGCAAAATTAGTGTAGATTGGGTTTATAAAATATAATTTAGATTTCATCTCTTCAAATCAATTCAGCGTTGCATCTCTTTTTAGAAAAGGAATTAAAAATGTTCCCTCTTCTAAAGAAGCACTTTATATCAAGCTTAGAGGTTGAAGGTATGTCCGTTCGTTGCAATTTTGCAGTAGATTATGCGATCCGACATAGTCAGCTCGTGACGCTGTGTAGGTCAAAATCCTTGCTACTTCAAAGCATATAAACGGGGTTCACTCGGCTCTAAAGAAAATGAAATAGTGGTTGTAAATTCCCTTTAGTGACATAAGAATTCTTTTTTAAGATGCCAAATTAATGATTCGAGCTGTGGTAGGTCGAAATTTTCATGTAAATATAGATTGTCTTAACAAATTTGACATATAATGGTTGAAACAAGTTTCGCTGTCACAGTAAAATGATTGAACCACCTGTAGGAATTTTTTGAGCAAGGAAATAATAGAAAACTTAAAGATAGTTAGGTTTAATGTTCATATTAATAAAAAAAAAAACTGTTGAACAGAATAAAAGAAACCCAGAGAGTAATATATATATTTTTGCATGTGTGTTATACCATACCAATTCTTTTTTGAAACAAAAAATATTCATTGCTTTTAGTCAACATAAATTTGATACCCAGGTGCCCAATAAAATCAAAACACTAGGACTAGGAAATTTGGTAAATCTTCTTGGCGACAGCACTTAAGAAGTTTTTATGCTTTCTACAGGCATAATGATTTGCATAGACGCTGTTTCGATACGTTTTTACTGTATTGTAAGCAAGAGGGTTTTAAAAAGAAAACAAGAATCATTCCGTTAAAAATAGATATTTTACTTAAATCTGCTAAAAGAACACCCGTGCATTATTAACCGTTAATTTCCAGTTCACTTAGATTCAAATTACTCAAATTACTTTTTCCCCAAACACTTCTTTCACGTTTGTGTTTTTTTGTCAATTCCTCCAACACGCTCCGGTTTTCGATAGGAATTATTTGGCAGTGTTTCATTTGCCCCACGAGCTCATGGTTCATAAATTCTGCAATACACCACGATTGGTCTTCGTTGTTCCAAAATACAGGCTTTTGGCTCTCATTTCTTAGTATACTCTGATCAAATACTATCAGCGAATTTTTTATAACTATAGATTCAGGCTCGACATATAGAAATGGTAGATCTGGTAGTGGGCGCCACAAATTCTTGGATGGATTGTACTCTTCTACTTTTCTAAGCTCATCGAACTGTCTACCGTGTCCCCCAATGAGGTATAGTTTACCATGAAATGTCACAACAGCGCAATCAGAGCGGTAGAATTCAGGATTTGGTATCAAATGCCATGTATCGTTGTTGGGATGATAGACTTGACACACCATTGCATCGAGATTCATACTTTCTCCGATGGCATATATATTGTTGTTTAATGCAACTACCTTGGAAACATGCATCGGGTGCATTGGTTTCACCAACTGCCAAGAGTCGGTTTCTCTATTGTAGCGCTGCACGATGGTGAATCTGTTTACGCTGGTTTCGTTGATATCTTCCTCGGTTTCATCAGATTCTTCAGTTTCTGTTTCATTCATGTTTACATCCAGATTATTTGCTTCATTTTCTATTACTTCATCAAGGTTACTATGATTATCAACTGGTTCTTCATGTTGTATTTCATCCGGGCGTGTTTCAACACCTCTCCTTTCATCCTCAAAATTTTCAATCAAATCTTCAATTCTATTATCAGTCTCTTCATTTTCTGTTTCAACAATGTCTGCAGGCAAATTATTTGCTTCATTATCTGTTTCGACCTCAAAGTAATTATCATCCCAATTATCAGCTATCTGGTCTCGCATTTCTGCCGAGTTTTCCACGCTTATGTCTGATGCTTCATCAAAAACTTCGTCCCGATTATCACCATCAATTTCAGTTTCATTTATGACGACGGGTGTATTTCTTGTTTCGTTATTTGTTGTTTCTTCGAACTCATTATTATCTGAATTATCAGCTCTTTGGTCTTGTACTTCTGCAGAGTTCGCATTTAATTCTTCTTCGTAATTATTTATTGTCTCATTTGAATTTTCATCTCGATTATCCGTTTGTTCGTTCGATGTTTCATCAAAATGCTCATTCCTGTTAATAGCTTGTCCATTTTCAATTTCATACTCATTATCAGAAAAAATGTTTTCGTCCACATCAGTTTCTTCTTCAGAATGTATTACCAAAAATTCGTCATCATCTGGATTAAAATCAGAGATTTCATAAATTACATTATCCTCGTTAACTTGTAATTCATCAATACCTTGCTCTTCTTCTTCTGCATTTTCGTCTCCAGGAAGAATTGCCAATGGAAAATCCTCAATCTCATCTTCATTATCCACATTATTATTTCCAAAAAGGAAAATCCCAATATCCCTAAAAGGAAAATCACCAAACTCGTCTTCTTCATCCACTGGATTTTCCATATCAGGCCTATGAAATGCTCGATGAAATATAAGACGAGGTACATTTCTATTATCGTCATTATTTTCATTTAGGTTAAAATCTAAAAACAGAAATCCCCCAAAAGGATTTATGAAATTAAATTCGATTTCGTCAACGTTGTCCATGAAAGACATACCACCCAATGCATAAACATCGTCATTTACGGAAACAATCGAATATAAAGATCGATTCTGTGGAACACTGCTTATAGTTGTCCAAGTCTTATTGACGAGATCAAACATTTTTATCAAGGTTGGTTCATTATAGAAGGAAAAATAAGCAAACGGTCCTCCGATGCAAATATCCATAAAACCTACTTCACGAAACATAGGATAATTACCCATACTATACAAATAGTCAAAATTATTGTCGTATGTTATATAAAGTTCCACTCTCCTACCACGAAAATGTTTACATATGAAGTAGATGTTGTTGCTAATTCGAGGACCTCGCAAACCAGTTACGGTTTGAGGCAGTTTCTTGGCTTGTTTAATTATCAAGGATAGTGCTTTTGCTTGGTTCTCGCTGTGCAGAGTAGAGTCAAAGCAAAAAGGGTTGTCTTCGGCTGTGGGTGGTAATTCGAGTCCCTCTGCTAATGATTCGTCTATTTCTTGAAGTCTTATGTATTTTAATAACTCTGGGAAATGGTTCATTCCATCGGGTTTATTTCCTTTTATCCATGATATCATAGTGTTCCATACACATGATTCATCGGAAATATTCAAGTTGTCGCATTCTAGGATCTCTTTGAATGCAGCTAATGACAGACCACTGATATTGGTTTTAGGACTGCTGAAAGCTTCTTCACTGTGGATTTTAATATATCTCTTACAGTTAGCTTTAATGTCTTTCAACTGAGTTTTCCAAGCACTGTTGTAGACTTGTATGCAGTTATCGACGGTTAAGCCATCGTTAAGTATAAAGGTTTTGCAATCAGCAAACAAATCATCCATGATTAAATAATCTGAAGCTAGGAGGACATCTGCTACGCTTTCTGTTGTTAAAATATCTTTCTCTTGGTAGATGTAACACAATAACTCGTTTAGCGTTTCACCTTTTACCATCGGCACAAATATCTCATCAGTACATGGTTTGAACTCACCGCAAAACAGTTTTTCAAAATATTTGCTGATTTGTGCTAAAAGAATCTTGTGGGCTTTAAATGTGCATCCATCTTTTGTTTTCAGTGTGATATCTGCTAATTTCTGAAACGAGCTGTTTGAAAAACTATTTTCCATAATGTAATTTTAATCTGAGTTGATTGTAAATAAGAAAAAAAATATCTGTATAAAAGTAAACTTTTAGTAAACAATTTTAAAAAAATAACAATGACTTAAAAACAAGATTCTCACTACAATAGATTCTCAATACTGCACAAATCGTTTGTTGTAGAAATTTTGAAAATTTAAAAATAGAACGGTATCGCGTATTTTTTAATTGAATAGTTATTTGTTTCAATAAATGCAAGGCATATAGCTGCCCATTCTTAAGAAATTATTAAAATAGTACACACTATATTATTTATCAAAATTCTTGAATTTTAAGAATTTTTTTTTTAAATCTTAAATTTATAAATTAAATTTAAAACGATTTAGGTCCCCATTGCATGCAAATAAATGAAACATATTTATGCATAAGACTGACACAAGGCCAAAACAATAGAAAATATATCTGCCTACAATTGTAATTCATTTGTCATTCCACTTTCATTTAGGAAAAGTAATTCTCAAAAAGAGTAAAAGCTGACTGGGTGGGATAAGAGCAGCAATGATTTTACTGTAGGTTTCTTTTAAAAAGACCTATATTAGTTTTTGACGTTACATTTCAAATCATAATTGTAACTGTAAAAAAAACTATCACGTGACTAAAAATTTATTAATCATATCTCGAAAATTGACATTTGTAGTCTGCAAATCTTTTTTAATCGACCAATATTTTACTTCTAAAAAGCATACTGATTCGATAGAAAAATATAGTAAAATAAAAATACCAAAAATAAAGTTAATAGCATGGCTGGCTTTTAAAACCTAACTAAAATTTAAGAAAAAGACTAAACTAGGATTAGAGTTGAATTAATCTTTTAAATTATAAATTTCTTTCAAATATATCTAAAATAACTTATAGGTGAAAATACATAAACAAATAAGCATTTAGTTTCATGCTTATTTAAAAGTAATTTTTGCATATCAACACTTGTTCTCCTCAAAGTAAGTCAAAATGCTTTTTTCAGCAATGTTTTTTGGTTTAAACTAATTAACTCTTCATTGGATATCGAATTAACTAATAGTTCTTCAATCTTTAAAACTCATTAGCAAATTGAGCTGGAAACTGTAACAATGATTTTAGTTATTCATTTAATAGTTTCTAATAAATAAATAATCATTTTAGAAAAAAAAATTACATTTATTAGCTATAATTTTGTTTGAAAATAATACTAAGTGTTAAAACATCTTTTTGGTTGCATCGGCCAGCAAGTGTAAAATACCATGTGATTAAATTAAAAAAATCTAATTTAAATAAAATCAAATCAGATTTTTTGGTTTTTAAAAAAAATTTTTTTTAGCCAACTCTAGTAAAAAAAATAATTTCCTATCCAAGTTTATAACCTACTTTTGTCCCTCATTTTCGCTTACTAAATTAGCTACTGATTTTTGCCGTGCTTCCAGGAAATCACGCCATTACCGCTTTTCCAAAAAGAAATAAGATCCGAAGAAACTTTGCATTCATAGCTGCTAAAAAACGCAAGTTTTGCACTGGTGCTTTGTTTTCCAGAAAAGTAAATCCAAATCATACTAGTAGCTACGTTTACTTAACAAATATTAATAATTTTAAAAAAATTTTAAAATTTCAATGCTTTAAATGTGCTAACATCTTTTGTTTCAGGCAGAATCTGTTTCATGTTTCATTACCACTATGGAGCATAGAAGATTTTAGATAAATGATTTTCACGTTACCGTTAGTTTGTGATCCCAAGAAGAGGAAATGACTATTAATATGATCCTCGACCATGGCTGAAAGCCCTTATATAGCAAGACGGAAAAGTGCAAAAACTGGTACGAAAGTCATTTCTTTTTAGCATTTTTCTTGAGAAAAATAAAATATCTGTAACTATCAAGATTTCTTTTATAATTTTAGTCTATATATGAAACTGCTTATTTTCCAAGGATAAAGTAGATATTGTTGAATAGTTTTAAAAAGAATAAGTTAACTCCTCCCGAAAACTAGTTAAAAGTGAAGAGGTTTTACTACCAGCCTTTCCTCTTTTCCGTCTCGCTTTCACCCTGTCCTCGACCATCTCAATTAATTGCCATGCCTAATTTTATTTTTATGATATTTTGCTCACAGTCAGATCACCATGAAATACTCACTAGCTATGGATACTCCTGAGGAAATGGAAATGACTATTAAGATGATCCTCAACTCGGGAGCATACCACCACAACAGTAAAATTATTTATCTACGATACATTCCTTTAAGTACCAACAGCCCCCCCCCATCAGTTGAGGTAGCTGATAATTCACCATTAGCTACCTCAAATGTACTACCCTTAACTTATGGATACTTCTCAGGAGAGGAAATGACTATTAAGATGATCCTCGATTCGGGAGTATATCATTCACCAGATTTCACTAGCTCCCTAGTCGTTCCATAAGCCGCCAATTACCCAATCACCTCCTTTTGCTTAACGCCAAAAGTCTTAGTCGCCCACGGGCTAATTAGTCAGATGAAGAAGTCAGATGCCCCCTTCGTGGGCAGGAACTTCGAAGAACATTATATCAAGTGAAGTTAGTTTGTGATATTCAGCAACCAAAAGGTCAGCTGACCACAACGTGTTACTGCAAATCCTAAACAAGTTCATGATGGATGGTATAGGGGCTGCTTCACTGTCCAGGTACCCAGTTTCATAACAATACTAGGATTAATTAGTGATACTACATCACACGTCACGTGTCGATGATATATTAACCATGAACATATTTGATATATTAGTATAGGTTTTAAAATTATGGAGTGATTTTTTTTAAATAAGATAATAAAAAGATTTAATAGGAACTGATTTTTTAATAATTACATTTCATTGATAGTTTAACACGCTCACGCCGGGAAAAGTGAAAATACTGGTACGGGAGAAGAGAAAATACTGGTAGAAGAACTATTTCAATATTAGATAATATTCGGGAGGAGTTAATCTATTCTCAACAATAACAATTCACTGTAAGGAAATTTATCACGGCGAAGAAGCAATTCAATATAAAAATTGCATCCGTTAAAAACAATTGGTAGTTATGGATTTTTATTATTCCCGGAAAAAAACTAAAAAATGAAATTTATTGTTACCAGTTTTTACTCCGGTGCGCTGCCAAGATGAGACAATCTAGCGTGGCCCACCAGTGGGTCACCCCGGCGTGAACGTGTTAAACAATATTCCATTCCAAAAAAAAGTATCGGTTTTGCAAAAATACATGCCCCGCAGTGGACTGTTCGTAAAGACACTGTTCCCAGTCGAAGCCTAAAGTCTACCGTAACTGACTGCAGTTAGAAAGCGGATGAAGGACCACTTGATCAGACTGCGTTGGGACCGCGGGTGCGCGGTATCAGTCCTCGTTAAACTGTTCTACTGTAAAGTGCTCGACTTCGCGCGCAGGTTGTCGGGCTACCAAAGTGGGAGGGGGACATACCCTCTACGGAGAATCAAAATTGTGATGGCATGTTTTCGGATCATCCTCAGAGATGTTTCCTAGACTGTCGCCAATAGCTCATTGTGCAGCTCTAGTGCAATGTATATAAAAATACCTACCTACAGAAATAAATATGTATTTAAATATAATTATTATAGTACAAATTTCAAACTAAGTTTATTACCTGTTCTTGTGACTCTTCTTCTAGTACTAATTTGGCTTCTAAACTTTGTCGCGTTTCAAGAAAAGCACGTCGTTGCCGCCTTTCCAAAAAGAAATAAGATAAGATCCCAAGAAGATTTGCACAAATGAATAGCAATACATTTGCTCCAAGCTGTAGAAAATTAAATAAAATATGTATATATATAGGTGTGTGTGCAGTGAACAGAAATGTAAACAAGCGAGAAGTAAGAAGTAAATAAAATCACATTTAGACAAACATGAAATTAATCATTCAAATTTTACATTTCATAAAATAATTGATCTATACTTAGTGAAGAATATTCCAATATTCTATTTCAGGGGTGGCTAACCTTTATACACCAACGTGCCAATTTTTCTAAAAAATTGTTTAATGAGGTCATAGACGTGCCTTCAAATAATTTTGACTTTGTGATTATTGAGAAAATAATAATACTAAATACTATCAACTCAAAACTCTTTATTTACATTGAAAAAAGGAAACATTTTGCCATGTCTTAAAACAACTTGAAGTAACATCAGTATGACTTCTGTTGTTGCAGATTAGATGACAAATAACTTATATTAAGTTGTAGGATGCTAGTTTAAGCAGGACTGTTATTTATTTATTATTATTTTTTTTACTAGTTATTTATTTTTAGCTCGTTTTTATATTTTTTGATTTTTTAGCATTAATTGTTCATTTTTTTATTAATAATTGTTTACTATTTTGTTTGTTTTTGTGAATTTAATTTAATTGTTACATATGCTACAAAGTGTAATAACATTTGAGTAATAATAATTCATAGTGTAACAACAATTGTGATCGGTGGCGTGCCCAAAATATTGTGTCTCGTGCCAGAAATGGCACGCGTGCCATTGGTTCGCCATCCCTGTTCTATTTCTATATTTGCACTTCATATAAGAATGGGACACAAAGGAATTAAATTAAAAGGCTTAATTAATAAGCTTTTTATGCAAAATTAATTAATAAATACAATTAATTAAAAGCTTAAAAAATGAAAATTTCAAAAACTAAGTATATACATCCTAGTTTGGTAATTATTCAAGTTATTTAGCCTTGTGTAAAGCACTAAAACGTTCAGAGTTAAACATATTAAGAATGAAAAAATTATTTTCTGCCGTTTAATATGTAATAGTTGTTAGTGGTATTTAAATTCGAAAAGATATAGGCAACCAAGTTCTTAAAACCAAATGAAAACTACAATTTATGGATATTTACCACTTCAGCCCTCGCTTTCTACAGCTGAAAGACTCCATTGGATTTCTTAAAAGTAGTCCAATAAGACCACAATAGTCATTTAATCGAAAATCTACTTAAAAAAGAGAAATAGACAACTAATATATGTCTTAAAATCTGTTTAATTTATGAATACGATTGGTTTGATAAACTTTCCTTGTTAATGACCTCATATTAATCCATCAAATAGAAATATTCGTCAGCAAAATGAAATATTAAAGTAAGATGAATTTCTTTTTGAGGCATTTTTATAACAGAAGTTCGTTGCATGCACAAAACTGGGTCAATTTTTAAATTATCTGCGCAGACTACTTATGAAAACAGTGTGGAGATGTTTTAGCGCTGAACGCCTCATATATCTGAAAGTATCGTTTCTGATACATGAGAACTTAACAGAAAGCAACTTATAAGATTTAGTGACAAAGAAATGTTTTTTTTTAAAAACAAAAATGAATGATAGTTATTGTTCGTACACATAATCTACACGTAATAATAAAACTATACTAACGTAGTATTCTTTATTATGAATCACGTTTTCAAGCAAAATAAGTGAATTTATTTCATATATAAGGTAGTAAAATTCATACATTAAAAGTTATCTGTGATTCAAAAAACTTTTTTATTTATTGTAAATTGTGAAATTTAAAAAAAAAATACCTGGCAAGGAAAACAACTAAAACCTTTCAGGGTTAGCTCCACTGCAAGGGGACTCAAACCCATGATCCGTCTACCATTGAGGAATTTTTGCGTCAGCACTGTAGTCGGTGCGAACCAGGTGCGGAATTCGTATCGACCAGCCGTCATTGGATTCGAACCCAGTTCTCCTTATTGAGAGGCGAAATTGCATATTTAGCAAACTTCCCGTCAATAGGTTGAGCTGCATGCGTGCGAGAACTACATAGAAATTAAGTCCGTTACATTCTTTGTCATGCAATCAGTTAGTGAGTGCTTGTGAAAGATTTTGATAATGGTTTACACGCTACAACAGTGGATATTCAGTGTTTTGGAGTATCATCTATTGTTTTGAAGTATCTTCTATTGTTTTACCGTACCACATATTGGTGGGTAGTTTAACTAAATATGCAATTCGGTGGGATGAAATCCTAGTTTCCCAACGCTGTAATGCCGAAAACATTTTAATCGCGTTCCATTCCCCCCCCCCTTTTTACCGATTTTTAAAATTCATGAGTCATTTAAATGTAAGAGTATTTAATAAATTGTATTTATTGTGATTTTTAAAGTATCTTTAATTTTAAACTCGAAACTGAAATAATCTTACTTTTTCCAAATCTTTCTCCGAAATATTATTTTAAAAATATTGTTTTACTCTCATGGGGAGCGAAGTTAATAATACTTCCCGATTCAGACATTCCTTCGAAATTCATTAAGACAATATTTTGTAGTATCATATCGCTAAATATTTTTCTATTTGAAATGATTTTAGAAGTTTAATATTAAAATTTTTTTTTCAATAAACTTTGCGTCTGAGTAAGATTTTCTCTCTCCTTCTCATAATGATAACAATCGGTCTAGACAGAACTAATTTACATTTAGTACATTTCTTTCAAACATTCAAACATTTAAGATAAAGTTATAACAATTTTCCAAAGAAAAAGGGATTAACTTCAAGGTAATATTTCGAAAATTAAGTCACTCAACACAAAAATAATTAAAACTACTAATCCTGGATGAATTGGAATTAAAATATATTGTAAAAATATTCTCATACACGACGTTGCAAAATTTATCTGCCTGGTAAACTGGATGTATTATTTAATATAAAATAAAGTAATAAATTCTGAAATCTATATTAAAATTTTAATGAAAGATTTCAGAATAAATCTTTCATTTTCATACCGCCTAATCGCATATTTATTTTATTTTATAAAAATCGATGAACAGCTCACCCAATTTTGGGTTTACGACTACTAATGTTCAACACCGTATAGCCTTGTATTTTGAACCCAAACCAGAAGAGAAGTTTTGGATCAAGTTGGGAGAAAAATGCTTTCGTGGAGGACTTGGCGGAACTAGTCCGCATTTGAGTTACATGGTAAGGAAAACCGCGAAAACCTTTCACGGTTAGCCCTACTGCAAGGGAACTCTAACCCATGATCCGTCTACCGCTAAAGATATTTTTGCGTCTGCACTAATGAGATGGGCTCGGAATTCGTATCAACCAGTCATCGCTGGGATTCGAATCCAGATTACCTCATTGGATGCGAACTCTCCATCTCCAGAGCCATCATTTTATTTTATTTTATTTTATTTTATTTTATTTTATTTTATTTTATTTTATTTTATTTTATTTTAATTTTATTTTATTTTATTTTATTTTATTTTATTTTATTTTATTTTATTTTATGACCGTCATGAACAGCCTACCCAATATTATGGGTTTACGACTACTAATGTTCAACTCCGTAGCCTTGTAATTTTGAACCCAATCTAGAAGACAAGGGAACTACTGGATCGAGTATTGGGAGAAATTTGCCTTCGTGGAGGACTTTTTTGATGGAGCTAACCCGCATTTGCGTTACATGAAGAGGAAGACTACGAGAACCTCCCTAGGTTAGCCTGACGGTAAGGGAACTCTAACCCATGATCCGTCTAGCACTGAGGATATTTCATGTCAGCACTGTGGTTGGTGCAAGCCGGATGCGGAATTCGTATCGACTGGGATACGAACCCACCATGGCTCAATTAACACGTACTATAAGACATTTATGAACAAGCTCCTTTACCTGATTCTCCGTGAAATCGATGGGTTTAGGCAGGACGCCGACTAGAAGCAAGTGAACAAAGGCCATCACTATGCTGAGGATGAGACAAACACTTAACCGTAGAGGCAGCAGCAGGTAAACCATGTAAGTGTAGAGGATTGCCCAAGCCACAGAGTCTCCAGGCATCCTCGGAACACTGAACAGCCACATATCACAGACTAGATGTCCCAGTTGGATAAACCAGGCTATAAAAGGGATACAGTCCCATAACCTGCAAAATAAGAAATCTCTTTAAATAATAAACCCTTTTAATAACATCGAGATTAGACAGCTTTCTTTACTTTAAAAATTACTATCATAAGTTTATACGATTATCAGCAAGTTTTCACCGTGAAGGATTTTTTTATTAAAAAAAAAACATTGTTCAGAATAAAATTTTTTTTTAAAGAATTAATTTAAAATCCGGGGAAAGGGGCTTTTCCTCTTCTCTGCAGAGGAGATGGGAAAGCTATGAGCCAGATTTGAGGAAATATCATGATAAGCCCAATCTTCAAATTGCTTGTTAGTCTCAAATTGTTTATTAAAAAGCACCTTTTAACCTACCTGGGTGCAATGGCTAAGTGGTTAAAGACAAAGAGCTGAAATTGTAAATGACTTGGGATTCGATCCTCAATGCTTATTTGAGATGCTTAGTTTTTTTAAAAAAATAAACTTCTTTTTTCTAATTTAACTTTCAGCTGTAAAAATAAGTCATTGATAGCATCGTCTTTAATGCACTCTGACAGCATATGGGATTGTTGAGTTCTTTCAGAGATCATAAAAACCAGCTCTTTAAGTAAAAGTCTTACTTAAAGAGCAGATTTAAAAGCCTAGACACATATTTTGAATACATTTTAAACTACCTACTTGCTATGTGAAAATTTTTTGCTTTTATATTTTTCATGTTTCCTTAAATTTACCTTTTCTGCATTTAGTGCGAAGTATTGCCCAGCCACTGGGAGAGGTTTTGATGGTCTCTCTTAAAGGTTTTCTTCAACACAAGTTTATGGAAAAAACTCCGTACCTCCCAACAGTGGTCGGAAACAGAAGAGGTCGCTATATAAGGTGGTCTTTCTCGGAGGTTACGCTGTATTTGTGTTATTAATACCAAAAATCGTGGCAGATACTCCACAACAGACTAGAGTAAAAAATATTCATTCTCGGTGTTTTATTACGTCAGGAACTCTCCTTGGTTGTATACCCCCTTGGTCTGAAGTAGTCACTACCATTTTCGACTTTAAGATACACAAAAACTTTCTACAATGTATACAGGGTAGATAGCCAAGTCTTTCAATAAAAAATAAGCACCTTATAAGTACTTTTTACGTACTCAAAAATTTTTTTAAGCACTATATATATTAAATAATGCAAAGTAACTTTCAGAGAATGTACATGATCATGCTAAAATAACTACTTTCTGACAAAGACTTCTTTTCTTGATTACATTAGCCATTATAAAATGATCAAGAAATTTTTTCGATTCGATATCAGAGGGTGGAAAATGAAGTCTGAAATTGAGAGTATCTTGCAAAATGCATCAGAGTTGCTCATGAGAATGCAAGAATCTCAGCGAACTCGGCTCAGTATACGCACATGCAAACTTGTAAGTATTTCATTAAACATGTAATATGATTGGCGCTTTCATACGCTATATACCGCAGATACGCCGAAATATATTGTGGTTGAATGAATTGTGAAAACGTTGAATAGAACAATGTGAAAAGCACGCTTTTACATAATACGTGGAGAAAATAGACATGGTAAAGAGAAAAAATTTAATTTTCGAAAAGGGTAAATTAAGTACTTTTTAAAAATGCCCTATAAAAAAACCACCTTTAAGGGCTTTTAAAAACGAAAATCGAAAATAAGCACCTTTAAGCACTCTTTATAAACGCTACGCATCGTGGTATACAGCCCTTCACTCTTCATGTAAAAATTCGAAGAGTTTTTTACAAATATTATTTGGAATGAAATTTCATCCACTAGATCATTTATTTTATTTTTCCGTAATACTTATTTCTTATCTGTAACCGAGAGACAAAATTAATAAACCAGCTTATAAATAAATAAGTTAAAAATACTTACTTAGAAGGTAACACAGATGCATAACAGCGAACAACTATGAATATAATAAATAGAATGAGGAGGGCTCCAGCAAGAAATGATGCTTGTCCAATAAGTTGACTAGCATCCCGGAAAGGAAGGGCCACGGCATAGGTAGCAAGCAGGACTATGTCGACCAATGCAAGGACTAATAGTAAGGTTTTGGTGTTCCGCCTTTTTTCTATCCTGTAGTACTCTCTGTACAAACTTTCTGCGCTCTTTTCAGCAAAGGCGAACTGTAGGCATTGAGGAAGATACCGTTGAAGGCCGGATCTGTCGATTTTTAGCTCGGTTTCACCTCTGCTGAGGAAGGATGGCTCATCGCCGGTACCGTTCTGCTTCCTTGTTTCCTGTGAATCAAAGTCAGCAAGCTTTTAGATGCATTGGGGACATCTCAGTGGAAAAAAAATTCAATTCAAGAGTAAAACCAAATCGTTCCCCGGAATTACGCTTTTTGGTACTATGCTAAATATGATTCCGGTTATTCGCTTTCAACCAAATTATTACTTGTATTTGAATTAATCTTGACAATTAATACTTGTATTTATCCAAATTAATACTTGTATTTGAACCAATCTTGAGGTAATAACCTCAAGATTAATTCAAAGACAAGTTATTAGATAACGATGAAGGGTCCGGATCGGAAGATTTTTAGTTCTGCTTCACCCCTACTCAGGAAGGTTGGCTCATCAACGGTACGATTCTGCTTCCTGTGAATCAAAATCGTAAGCTTTTGTATCTATCTCAGACATCACAATGAAAAAAAATTAGTTAAATTTTGTAGTGAAACACATCCCTTTCCCGAATTTGTGTTTTGTGGTACCGGTAATTGACTATTAACAAAATTATTAGTAAAAACATCAAGATTAATTCAAGTACAAGATACTTTTTCTCAACTTTCGATGAATCATGAAAAAAGACGAGAAAAATGAAATATTTTTATGGATGGGATTTTTAAATATTTTCATGTCTATCGCAAATACTGTTTATTGTTATAAAAATAAATAATATCTAATTACTTACGTAATTTTTGCAATTGACAAGCGTGTTGTTTTTAAAAATAAAACGGAAAAATATTTTCTTATCTTTTATAATTAATTGGATGCCACTTTTTAATTTTTTACAGATTGCTTTGAACATTGAGCAAAGAGTAAGACAGTAATATTGTAATGCCTATTGTAGATAATGAATCACCGGCACCGTCTGTCAAACTCCATTATGCAAAATATTCCGGGTCAAATTCTGGTAAAATGTACTGGCACTCTGAATGCTGTATGTGAAGAATTCATTTTACCGTAAAATTTTGTACCGTAATTTTTACTGTAATATTTATTTAATTACGGTGATTCAGTGATTCTACACTAAATACTGTATACCGTTTTGATTGTCGGTACTTTTTTATCGTAATTTGATCTGGAATTTTATGCAGTGCAGGGTAACACGTAGGCACTAAAATTAAGCAATTCTAAATTTATATTGTTTTTTTGTCGTATGCCTGTTTAGGCAGTGGGGGTGTGATTGTTTCCGTTTTTCAGTGGCGCCATCTATGGCCAGGAATTCGACTTCCACCACGGCAATCACACAACCCGTTTATAGGGCGGGTTATATTCACACACAAAGGAGAAAGGGCATGGAACACACAGCGAGAGAAAGAAACATCCATGCCTTGCTCAGGATTCGAACCCAGGATCTTTCTGATGCAAAGGGCAGTTCCCTGCCCCTTACACAGGCCGGTCGGCTTATATTGTTCTTGATAACATATATATCTTTAAAATTCTATTTTTGCTTGTTTTTGATTTCTAACTTTTATTTAAATTGTTTTTAGCTGCTTTTAAAAATTTTCCACTTTGACTTATTATTGTAAAGATTTTTTTTAAATTTGCTTAAATCAATTTCATACTTAGATTAGATTTGTAAAACGAAAATTCGAAACTGTGTGTCACATAACGTAAACACGATTATTAAGCTACATGTTCGGAATAAATTTTTTTTTTACATTTAATTATTTTATAATTGTGCAAAACAGCTTTATTTTTCATTTTTCTGAATTAATAACTCAACTAAACCGAGAAAAAAAAGCAAACGGATATTTTATGTACTTTTTTTTTCCTCCAGTTTTTAAATCTAATCTTTTTTCTTCAAAAAATGCCCACGCTTCACTTCATTTCAAAAATGTCGTCATCTTTCCTAATTAACGAAAATAATCCCCATAAATAGCGATACCCCAATTCAACCCCAAAACACCATACCCCATAATATATTTATAATCAGACGTTATTTAGAATACTGCTTTCCTTAAATAATTAATGCCTAAAGAATTCTTTTTCTTAATTTCCGGTGCCTCCCTGCCAGTTTTAAATGGCAATTACCGAAGCAGAAAAGACGGAGAAAACGTTAATTTCGCTTCATATATGACAAACATGAGGAGAAGGATTTTTGAGAAAGAAAAGCGATTTCTTCTTTAAATTAAACATGGCTCTGGGACCGAAGATAGTGTCTCAAGAGAGACTTAAAAGCTTAACAAGAATTTGTCATTTGAATTTTTTTTTGTTTTATTTGAATGGTCCAGTATTCGTTTTATGTACATATTTACCTAATAGATAATGCAAATGATTTTAAACGTAATTTTTCTCCTTTTTAATTTAGAGATAAATTATAAAAGTGACAAAAAATATATTTAATGAAAATGGATTTGGAGTTTTTGAAACTTTTCAAAACAGACAATTAGTTTGTTTTGCCGCAGTTAAAGAAAAATTTGAAAAGAAATAAATTTAGATTAATAATGGCAAGCAATTATGTATTACGTATTTAAGAGATTTGATGTTTTTTTTTCTTTTTTAAGAAATCATTAGCGAATTTTCATCAATTTTTATTTTTGATAGATTTATGTTTTATGATCTTTTTAAACTTTTTATCAGAGAAAAGTTTAGAATGCCATGGTTTTTTATTTGTTTGATAAACTGCTGTTTGTAGAAAATGCAACACCATGAAGGAATCATCAGAATCAAATGAAATATTATTTTAATAATGGATNTGTCATTGGAATTTTTTTTTGTTTTATTTGAATGGTCCAGTATTCGTTTTATGTACATATTTACCTAATAGATAATGCAAATGATTTTAAACGTAATTTTTCTCCTTTTTAATTTAGAGATAAATTATAAAAGTGACAAAAAATATATTTAATGAAAATGGATTTGGAGTTTTTGAAACTTTTCAAAACAGACAATTAGTTTGTTTTGCCGCAGTTAAAGAAAAATTTGAAAAGAAATAAATTTAGATTAATAATGGCAAGCAATTATGTATTACGTATTTAAGAGATTTGATGTTTTTTTTTCTTTTTTAAGAAATTATTAGCGAATTTTTATCAATTTTTATTTTTGATAGATTTATGTTTTATGATCTTTTTAGACTTTTTATCAGAGAAAAGTTTAGAATGCCATGGTTTTTTATTTGTTTGATATATAACGATAATGAGTTTTTTTATTTGGTTTCAAAACTTCAGGTTCCTTTTATGTACGTATTCATCTTGAAAATGATATAAATGATTTCAAATGTATTTTTTTCTCTTAGATATTAAAGATTTTGTTGACAAAAACAATTTTCAATGAAAATGGATTTTGGAGCACTATTTTTTTTCCTTCTTTTTTACATTTTCAAAAGTCTTCGAAAAACTAATTAATTTGTTCTGTTGTAGTTAAAAGTAAATTAGTTTTGATTAGTAACAGCAAACAATAAATAAGGTAGGTATTTAAGAGATTTTATACAAATTTTTTTCTTTTCAGAAATCATTTTAAATTAATTTATATCTACTTATGGTTTTCGTTTTTTTAGAGTTTTTCAACTGCTGAATATGTATATGTATCTGAATATGTATAATTTATGATGTCATTGTTATTCATTTGTTTGATATTTAACCATATTTAATTTTTTTATTGTTTTATAAAACTGGAAGGTCTAGTATTCATTTTACATAAATGATTTTATGTTTTATTTTTCTCCTTTCCATAATTTAGAGGTAAATTATTTTAGTGACGGAAAATATTTTTAATAAAATCGAATTAAGAGTATTTTTTTTAAATAAATTGTAAAGCAAATGTTTGTTTTGTAATAGTTACAGAGCAAATTAAATTAGAGGCTTGATAAATATCTGCAACTAATTGTAAATAACACATTTAAATGATTTGAGATATTTTTTTTAGAAAAAATAGTTGAATTTTATAATTTTTTCCTTATGTCGTTTTTTTTTGTTTTGTTATGTCTCTTAACTAAAAGAAGTGTTTCCTTTACTTTTGTTTCTTTATTCGTTTGATTCATCATGTTTGCGTTTTTTGTTTTATAAAACTGAAGAGTCCAGTATTCATTTTTACGTATTTATTTTCTTCATAGGGTCTACCAGCCTGTGTAAGGGTCAGGGAACTGACCTTACATCAGAAAGGTTCTGGGTTCGAATCCCGAGCAAGGCACGGATGTTCTTCCATTCTGTGTATTATTTGTCCTAACTGTGGAAGAAGCATTGGCCCTCCTAATATGGTTCCCCAGTAAAAGTGGCCAACAAATCTGCCCTGTAAATGACGGTATGGCGAAAGGTTATTCCCCAGGCGGGCATTGGAAAATAAATTTTCTTCATAGGTAACACGAATGATTTTCAGTGTACAGTTTTTTTAATGAATTTGCTGTATTATTTTCAATACTTAAATAAAATTCGAAACAGATAACTAATTTTTTATGTATAGATATTTAAGAATTGACTTAAAATAAGTTCTCATTAATAACGATCAATACAAGCAATGGTAACTAACATATTTAATCGATTTGATAGTTTCTTTTTTATCAAATCATTAGCAATATCAGTTTTTTTTATAAGTAGTGCGTTTTATTTCTTTTTAAATTTTTAATTGAAGGAAAATTCGTATGCTGTCGTTGTTTTTCATAGGTTTATTTTTTCAAGATAAAAAAAATTTTTTTTTTCACTGAAGGGTCTTGAAACAATTTTAAGTGCACATTTCAATACTGTTGATGCAAAGTACTTTCATAAATAATTTTCAAAATATGGTTTTATAATATATGATAAAATTTAGTAAATGTGGTGACATTTGGTAACTTCGGTAACCAGTTATTCGGTTTAATTTATATTTAGTTTTTTTTATAAATATGTGGTAATATAAAATTTTGAAAACCAGAATTTCTGGTAAAGCGTTACCATTTGAACTGAAAAATTACTAAATGAAAGATTCAAATACCGTATATTTTGAATACCAGAATTCTAAATTTTTTTTTCTACCAGAAATGACCCTATCTTACAGTACGGTAATTTTACCATAAAATGTAGTATTATTTTTACTAATCT